ATGTTGCCTGTGGAACTGGGAAACTACCTTGCATTTTGGCTCCTAACAGATGCCCACTATGATTTCCTCACCCCTCTTAGTTCTCACAGAGAGGAAACTAAACTTAGCCATTTAGTTTTGGGGGAAGGGGCCAGGGCAAGGAGTGGAGGGTAAACTAAAGGACAAAGGTCAGTTTCAGAAAGCCAGGTCTTGCTCAGAAAACTATTCAGGTATCCAAAGACTAAGAATGAAAGGAGATAGATGGAATTAGCAAAATGAAAAAAAGTAAAAAATCTAATGATTAAAAAAAAAAAAATCTGGGGCAAAGAAAAGAAAGAATAAAGCAAAACTTCTTGTATTTCTTTTTTTGACATAACTCACAGTCACTTCCCATTCTCATCAGATTCCTATAAAAAATTCAAAATAAAATTCAATGTTTAGAGGATCCAGGTCTCATAGTTTTGGAGATTTTGCACCTCTTCCAACCTCCCTCTCCCCCTTATTAGGATTGAGTCCTAAACAAACAATGAGGTAAAAAAGAAATATATCTCTGTTTATTTGGACATGAAGTAAAGCTATAAAGTGAACCTATTATTTTCCTTTCCTTTGTAAAGCTTCTTGTTTTGAGACTGGAGATAGTTTGGTAGCAGAAAGAAATTTTAACTCATGATTCTATGAAAACAAGGAAATATAAAGATTCTTTCTCCACTTCAGTCTTCTACCTATAGGGAACCCAGTTCCTAAAAAGTATTTCACAAAAGAAGATTGTGTTTTCAAAGCAAAATAGGATTTAAAAAAAAAAAAAAAAAAGCCTTGATGTTTAGAATGTAATATGAAAAGGCATTTGTCCTATTTGGACATTTTCCAACCTTAAAGCATACTTAACTAAAAGGTTTACTTTTTTTAAAGCCCAACTTACAGCAAATTTGAATTATATTCTATTAAACCAAGGCGTACAACTATTAGTATCTATTTTAATGGGTAAGCAAAACTTTGTCATGTATTCCTGACATTCAACATGGGAGTTTTAAGGGCTATATTTGGACATTAATGGTAAAATTGCAAGTTTTTGCTTACATCTTTAAACTAACAAACTTTTTTAAGTGACCTATCAATATGGGAAAATTCTAAAATTGTGTATATTTCATGGATATTTTTTATCTCAAACTATGTGGCTGTTGGAGAATCTATTTTTCATTTTGCATTCAAATTGGAATTTTGTCATTCTCTTTATGTCTCTTCAAAAACACTGTTTTTTCTGTGTTCAAGCTCTTATGTGTTTATACATAAATACAGATATATATTTGAACACACACACATATATAAGCTTAAGTTAACTATTTTACTGATGCCTCTTAAAATGAAAGTGTTTTAAGAAGGGAATATGTTCATTTAATTTCACATCAAATCTAAAGGTCTTTTTTTGGTTTGGTGTTTAGAAAATTCTTGATAATTTAAACTCTTCCACAATGAAAAGTAAAGCATTCTGTCACAAAAGCAGGGAGGATGAGACACAAGGTTAAAGGGCATTTTAGAAACAAACAGCTGGACCAGTTTATTTAAACAGATAGAGGGATGGGGGAACTGACCTCAGTTTGACTTATAGTGGGAGGAGCAAGAATGTCATTTTATTACTTTGCCCAGAAGGAAAATGTTTTTGTATCTGAATTCACCCTGAAGCCATCTAAACACATGGCTCTGCTGTATGGAGCATAATTCCAAAGAGAGAGGACATATAAGATACCAGGGATGATGATAAAATACACTAAAGAGAATCAAAGGTTGAGATAGTTTTCAGATTGAAAAGGTGATTGTTTTAAAAAAATCAAATATTTTGCTATTTAGTTATTTTCAGATAAAGATGACCCCACGTAATAATATAAATTTTCATATCACTTATTATAGGAATTGTAATTTAGTAACATTCTGAGAGATTACTATGTCCTATAGGTATTAATGATATTTTATTATATTCAATTTTTAAAAATTAAATGTATTAAAAGTAAGAAATTCCAGGTAGACCTATTAATATGGTCAAACAGTTCATAAAAAGTGATTAGATTTTCTTAGGTTTTCAGTGTTTTTTTTTTTTTTAATAAAAGGATTCCCACTTTGATATCCTATGGGTAGCTTACATCTGTGTTATCAATAGCAACAAATAGTTCCTGCCACCAAAAAAGAAGTGAATAGTACCTAGTACTTGTGGGCTTAGCTAAGAAGCTGTGGTATTTTCTGTGTGTATTAGCTTTTTACAAGGGGACCAGAGCAGGCCTGGAATACATGCAGTGTCAGCCACTGGGAACCTTCAGAGGGACACAGGCAAAGCTCCACATCCTAGGCATAGAGTGGCTCGGGTGGTGAGTGCACTCAAAATCCTAGAAAAACTCACATTCTAGAAGGAACTTTTTTAAGAACAATGGATGTTTAGCCTAGGGAGAAGAGGGGAGAAGCCCATAAGACATAATGGCTGCATTGAAGTATTTGAAAGGCTATCCTGAGGAAATAAGATTAGAATTGTTTAAAATACCCCAAGGAGTTATACTGGTGAAAGAGTTGTACCCACAGTTTGCCTTCTTTATAGACAGAAAGAGCTCTCAGCCAAGGCGGTGAGTGCTGTGTTAGAACAGTCCAGCAGGGGCTCCCCATCTCCATGGGTGGGGATATGCAGAGTGCATTCAATTCAGTGGCCAATTTAGGTGACTGTGATAGCCCTTTCCAAACCTGAGGTGTAATTTTTTTAAATGAATGCAGGGGTTTAATAGTCATGGACTGGAACCTGAGTTGGTTATGATGAGTTGGTCCATGGGAGTCTCAGTGTATGCGTGTGAAGGAGGTAAGCTTTGGAATATAGATAAATAGAGTCACTGAAACTTTTTTTTTTGGAATAGCCTTATCTTTGTCTATATACACAGGCAGTGCAGCCGTCAAAATTCCCAGTCTGCAAAATGTTCACAGTCATGCTTGTTCCTTGACTAAATATTAGGGTTGCTGCCAGGGGTAACTGGCTCAAAATCAGCTAATTTTTAGATATCTATTTAGTCTGGAATATTCTAGATGGGTGGCACAGTAGTGGCCCTGCTCTGATTGCAGAATTAGAGGGGAAGGTGTCACTACCGTTTGCCAGCAGTGTGTCATTCAGAAAATTATTAGCACTATCTCTTTGGTAACATGTGACCTCAAGTCACTTAATTTCTCTGAGCCTAGGTTTCTCATATGTTAAAAATGGCTCTTCCTAATTTTAGGTAAGTAATAGAAATCATATCCACAAAACATGTTTTGAAAAGGGGTTGAAAAGAAAGTTATAGACAGAGTTCCTTCCTTCTAAGAGTCTGTAGATTATAAACAGTACCATAGATAAAGAGATGTTTTTTGCTCTCTTACCTATGTTAGTTACTATGAAAATTACTTTTGGTATATGCAGAATATTAATATTAAATAATTTTCTAATTGGTCATGCAGTGAAGGCAGCTAATGAAAAGGCAGATTTTTTTTCCATTTTAATTGGTTATTTCACATGGTGTTTGTGCTACACCTGTGCTTATAATGAGAATGGAGAATTAATCTAACCTTCTGCTCACATGATTCCAATTTTCATGGTTTATACAAGATAATGATAACCTGATTTGCAACACAATTTGTTGTAGATCTGTGTCTTAAATATTTTTATTAGCAGTTCAAGAACTTCATATACAAGAACTGATATATAATACATATTGCCAACAAGAGTGAGCACCAACAGTGTACCTTTTAGTTAGATTCCAGATCATTATTTATTTTAATTACTTCTTAGATAATGAAAGAACATAAGGATACAGGATATTGAGAATCTTAAAATGTTATGAAGTATGCATTTTTATTTTGAAAATCTGTTCCTGTCTGTTTAATGATTTGATTTTGGGGAACCATTTTCCTTCCTGAAGTGGGCAGACTTACAAACTAGAATTCATACTGGACTGTGGATCCTTTAATTATTAATAGGGCATTATTAAACTTTTCATTGTATTTTTTTATGTCCTGCTCTGATTTGATATATTCAAATCTAAGTTGGGAACTAAAAGCAATTTACTATTTCAGAATCTAATATGTCCTCTTCATGTTCTGTATTTCATATGTAATTCTTAATATTATATGCAGTACAAATAGATCTTAGGGGGCAAAATCTCATGAGTATGACTTTGGAGAGCTTATATTAACCACTTTTCTGTATTTCAGTGACCAGTCATTTTTGGAGGAGCCACAAAAATAATTGTACAAAAAAATCTTAAGACACTTAAAGTGACTTAAGTGTCTTAATAAGATGTTTATAAATTTTCAGTACTAGCTGGAGAAAGCAAGATTATAAGTTCAATTACTGTATAGTTGCGACCTTGCCTTGACCTCAGACTCTGCCTAAAGAGAAAAAAAAAACACCACCCCAAGAAATCTCTGCAAGGAATGCATTTCTCTGAAGTCCCAAGCAGTGTGAGTTAGTGGTGATAAACTCCAGACATTCTCTCATTTGATGGTGTGCTGCCATCCCAGTTCATTATCTTAATAGTGGGCATTAAAATAGAATTAGGTTTGCAAGAGGTAGGGGAGGTTTTGATAAAAATTGTGAAAAAGAAGTCAGGGAACGTAAGATTCAAATGTCACTAATTAGGAGAGGTAACAGATGCCCTTACAAGCATCTCACTCTCTACACCAATTTTCTCCCCTTGCAATTGAAAAGAGTGGTGGCTAGTATTGTTTCCTGAAAACTCTTCTAATTCCCCCATGAAAAGATGAAATGGAAGTGTCCAACTGTGGTAAAACAGGCAAACATAAATCAACTCAGAAACCCCAAGCCTGTGTACTCAAAGGTCACTGGGGGTTACAGGTTTTGCTGCATGGGAGCTGCATGTAGAGCAGTGGAGAGAACTGAAGCAGTCCCATTTTGCCAAAGATCTGGCTTTACTGAACTGTGATTCATCTTCTCCTCTTCCTCTTCCTCCACCTTTTTTTTTTTAAAGGAATAATGATTTGCTTTACTTTCTTGGTTACAG